ATATGAACGTTCTTTCAGATGCTTCACACTGTATTTATTGTGTAAGTTTAACAACTTGCTAGTAAACTCTGATATGACACAATAAATACAGTGTGAAGCATCTGAAAGAACGTTAAGTTTAACAACTTGCTAGTAAACTCTGGTGGATGTTTCTTCCACGTAGGCATTTCATTGCCTTTTGTCTCTAATTGACCAGCCCAACTGATGAGATCTAGTATTGAATGAAATGCTTCTTGTACAGTTACTTGTGGGAGATAAAAGGTACATCTGAAATGCTATTCTTACAAACCTCTGATTTTGAGCCACAAAATCAACATACATCTTCATTTAACAGGGTTTTTATGTTTATTAAAGAGTAATAATACTATTTTTTACCATTCAGGTGGGATGTGGAGCAGGAAACACAGTCTTTCCAATCTTAGAGTTGAACAAGTAAGTTTTTGCTAGTGTGAAAGGTACAAGAATGTTTTTTATTTATCTATCTATGACCCTTATTTTTCCCCCTTTTGAATATATATTTTTTATATTTTGAGATGTTAGAGTATCTTAAAAGTTCCCAATGCTATTTTAATAACAGTGGTTTCTTTGTCCCACAGAATCCAATTTAAATATAATAATGCTATATTTAACAATAAATAGTAATACTTCTAATTATTAACTTCATTATTACATTACCAGCAGAAACCTTAGATACAGCATGTGTTGATAAATTCATATGGGAATGCCTAGCAAGAATACTCAATAACAAGAAAGTTCAGTAAAAAATTGTTTAATATTTGTGTAGCATAATAATAAAAAAAAGAATTATAGTTACAATGTGTTAAAAAATTAAATAATATTTACTAAGTTTAAAAACTAGCCAAATTTTAACCATTATTACATCATCTAAAAAAGAGGGAAGGTTTTGAGTAAAGCTGAGACTTCAGCCTAACAAACTATCATCTCCATATTGCTACACTTTTTAAGATTGGTTTGTACTGGTAAATACTCATTGTAACTACAGTATCTCTGTCGGTCAATAGTGTTGGCAAGTATCATACTGTCCGATTAATATAAGTCATTGGGAAACTGAACTTGGGGTTTTTTGATTTTCAGATTTTCAGTCCAGGATCTTGCATGTGTTGATTTACATCATCTCTTGAACAATTTTAAAAACACACAAAAAGCAAAACACCCACTTTAAGTGATGACATCATTAGGACTACAACAAGCAGAAGCTGTTAAACTTAACGTTCTTTCAGATGCTTCACACCATATTTTTTGTGTCATATCGGAGTTTACTAGCAAGTTGTTAAACTTAATGTTCTTTCAGATGTGTCACGCTATTTATTGTGTTATATAGTTAACTTGTTTTTCCTTCATCAGTTGGGCTGATCAATTAGAGACAAAAGACAATGAAATGCCTACGTGGAAGAAACATCCATAGTTGACTTGTTTTTCCTTACAATTTTATGCCTACTGGTTTCCAATAATTCGCCACCTTTGATCATTTAAAACTTAAGTTAAAATAAACTATTTTATGATAAAATTCAATAAATAGAAATGAATAATAACCTGAGAATGAATAATTAACTTTTACTAAAATGATAAATGTAACATTAAAAC